TGACGGTCCTTCTCTCTGTGAAGCTCGAAATCAGCTCAAGGGCTAATGATAACTATGATAAAGCCTGCCAATTGAAATAAAAAAATAAAATACCTATAACTATGCTGTTAATTAATGAGTTCATTATTATTATCTATTTATTTATATCAAATAACGGGCGTTTTGATAGTTATAATTGGCCCTTTAGTTGACTTCAGGCTTCACAGAGTGGAAGGAACATCAAAGTGAACAAAATCGAGAGGGAGGAAACAGAAGTGTTTCAATTATGTAAATGAGCCAGACACAAAGGTAGAAAAAAGGTGAGTACTGTGGAAGTAGTCGAATATAACATACAGTGGGGTGGTGGTAGTTTGAAGTCAGAAGTCAACTGTCTGTTTATAGACTTTTTTGCCGTATGAGTATACGTTACCCAGGATGCACCACGTGGAGGTAAGTCTATCGTACACCCCTCAATATTATTATTATGAAAAGTAATCTGTTATTATATCCATGATATCTGCTGTAATCAACGTTAATTTCTTTCCAGTTTTATCGATTTCTGTTCATTGATATTCGTGAACCTATTGATGGGCGCAATAATACATGTCGATATGCATCGTTTTCACAATCTACACAAAACTGGATTTATTTTAATTTGCTTGTTTTAAAGCAATTTCAAAAATAAACAAAGCAGGCCTAAGTAAAATTCGTCATAACCTTCCAATTAAAACACGTAAACAAATCACATTCACCTATATTCTATTTAACTATATATATACCTTCTGAACCGCAACTTGTCACTGGCAGTATATACTCCCCAATTTATTCTAAAGTACCCATGATGTATTATTAAAGTTTAAATTTGTTCACTGAAAAATAAATTAGTAGTAAAATGGTGAAAGACCTGTCATTTTAGGCAAACATGCTATAGTGATTCGAGAAACTTGCGTTGTAAACAGAGAAAGTGTCCGCTCTGCAAACGCCTTAAGTAAATGAGTTTCTGTTGGCATAAGTACCAATAACCATTCGTGGAATGCTTTAAGCGCACAAAACTCCCTCTCAAAGACATGTGATAACTAATAATATCAATGTGAAACCGCCATTACATCTGAGATGAAAAATTAGCCACAATTTTATGCGCTTTTCATTTCACTTTTCCCTCAAAGATACAATTCTAACGGCCTAATTTTTATTGTATAGTTGGAGGCCAAAATTAAGCAGAAGTTAGTTGGTCAGAGGTAAGATTAGATATGATTGGTATATGGGATCATGGATACTCACATCCTTTAGTCAAACAAATTCCACTCTTTCTTCAAATTGTTAGCAATAAGTCAATGTAAGTCATGTGTTACCTGTATCAACGTTTTGGGAACACAATAACCACAATGGGAGGTATAATAGGGATTGTTGTAAAAAATTGTATTATAATAAGCTGTAATTGAAAGCAACAGAGGAAAGAGCATTGCTGTGTCAAAGTATTCACCTAGAACTTTATTCAAAGCTCTTCATTGAACTCTGCTTTTATTGTTTCTATACGATTTTAAACAAATATATACAGATCCAATTTCGTTAAAAGGGCCTTCACACTAAGAAATGCATCTTATTGATGCAATAGCAACTATATGTTTGAAATACACTGCTACAAATTAGCTCAACTTGGAAATTAAATTTAATGATTAACCTAGTTAACGATGGGACTCAGATTGATATGTATATGTTTATTCTAAGTAAGATTTTTTAATAACCTTCCTGCAACTAAATATGCTATTTTATTTCAGAAACAATTAGTTAAATGCATTTTTAAATATTGTTACATTTTCTATAAACATTAAAATTTTCGTAAGACATTTATTCCAACTTTGGCTCCAAATAAGTGTTATGTAAGAAAGCTATAAGAGCTTGAATTTTCATACAATGTTTACGATTATTAAATTACGGTAAACTTGGATTAGTTTGAATTACTTAAATAAGAGTACATCTCGATAAATATTTTATCAAGTATTAAAGTCAAGCCATTCATTTTGAAAACATCTAATGAGTATGAACGCAGTACGACGATTGGAGAAGTCGCTCACGAACCAATGGACATGTAGTAATTAATATGAAAGTGCAGTGACATTAAAGCTCATTCATTCAGACATGTCTCAATGTGAATTTTACTAAACCAAAACCCCGACCCTCCCCCACTCTCACTCCCAATGAACACTACCACTCCTCTTTCCTCTTTCTTGATAATGTAGTCATCTATCGATTTTGACGTATATCAATCAGTTTGTAATCAATTTTAGATCACATAAATCAGATCAAATCCTTAATAAAATTTATAATATTTGTCAAATATAACCTCTATCAACCTTAGATATGCTTGCGTTATGATCCGAAAATTCTTCAAGCACTGAAAAATTTATTTCTCAAATAAATGAATATGGCATGAAATTGCATTTTCAATTTATATAAAGCTGACAATTTGGTTAGCTTTCAATATTTTTGTTGTTAGGAATCAGAATGTTGCAAATTCAAGTCTTTATGAACATTTCTGGAAAGTGAAATTCAAAGCTTCTTTTCCCAAGGGAATTCTATTTTCTTGCTTATTTAATAAGATTTGAACAATTTGTTGGAAAAGTATAAAATGCTCGCAAAAAGCATACGTGATTTCTTTCCAGTAATAATTTATAAATTTATTATCAAAATGAATCGATTCGAATGCCAATGTTGCTTGCTTGGCTTAGGACATATTAAAATTGTGAAAAATATTATTAATGATTATATACTAAAATAGTTGAATGAAATATTATTCTAAATTTATCAATTACAAAAACAAAACACGCAATCATTTGTAAATATATTTATTTATTTTGATAGTTATAATAAGCCCTTTAGCTGACTTCAGGGCCTCACAAAGAGGAGGAGGAACATCAAAGTGACAAATAGTCGAGAGGGGAGACAGAATAATGATTCACAGATGTAAAAGAGACAGACAGACACAAAAGTAGAGAAAAAGGTAAGATGAGTACTGTGAAAGGGGTCGAATATGACAAACAGTCGGTTCATAGTAATTTTAAGTCAGCAGTCAACTGCCGGTTAATAGACTTTTACAGCATAAGTATACGTTGCCCAGGGTGCACCACGTGGAGGTAAGTCTATTGCGCACCCTCATTTGTAAATACTATTAAATTCTGGAATTATATCTGATATATTAGGGAACGTATCATGTCTGCATTAGCAGATGAGGTATTCCCTAGGGCACCTTCACTTAGACGAAAAAGTAATATTAAAATACCTTTCAAATAATAATGGTCAATTTTCTTATCTACCCAAAGTGGTCCGTCAAAAGTAGGACATGCGAGAATTAAATGCGTTCATCTAAAATTGTGGAGATTTATTTTAAATCCATCAATTGAAGGCAAAATCAGAGCAATAACACAGGTAATTAAATTTTATTTACCTTCAGTACTTTCATATTCATTGAGCTTAGCTGTCATTAAGTGTCTTCATCATCACTGAAAAAAATGTGACCTTGAGAGATCAAACAAGATTTGAGGGGGGGGGGTAATGCAAAATGAAATACTTGTAGAATTTAATCCACATTTCGAAGTGGAAGGGTTGCACATTCAAATCCCATGAATGGTTCCATTAAAATAGTTGATTATCCTTATTATTAAATTCATTTAGCATTACAATATTGTCTGATTTTTTATTTTAATTTGCACAACCCCTTCCCCCACCATACGAAACTTAATGAATAAGTAATCGTCAGCATTAAAATCAAAGATCGCTATCCAAGTCAATTTGATTAATCTAAACTCCACAAAAAGAACAGTTTTATTCGAAATGAAATATTATTGCATTTACACCTACTAATCGTGTTTTAAATTATTGAAGTGGGTTTAAAGAAAACCAATTTGATGGGAAGCGTTTGAAATAAAGATGCAGAAGGTAACGCCAAGGTTTAAAAGAGATCTACATAATTTAACTTTTGCGCTAAGGTTGGACAATATTTACTAAATAGACAGTTCATGTTTAAAACTTCGATTTGCGCGATATATCCTCCTTTCAGGTAAAGCAAGTCAACGATTTTCAACACATATCGAACAGTATAAAGCAATCAAGACCCAATTTTCAGGAATGCAGTTCATTAACTTGCAGATTTAAAAGGGTAGAAATTTAATTTATTTCATTAATTTTTTTTTTGCTTAATCTCGTAAAACGTCAAGCAACATGGCTTTGTAAGTGATAAAATTAATGTATATCACTGCGTTGCTCCTTGAAAGCTCCCATATCTCCTATAGATCTACATATATTTATATTATTGATCAAAGTATGAAACAATTATGTATTATTCCAGTGTCATAGGCTCAATAAGATCTAGATAAAAAGCTAAAGTGATATAGGTCCGAAGGTTCTTTAAGCTGAAATGAACATTTTTATTTGCCAAACACATCTTTTTGGAATCAATGTTTCACACCATATCATCCTCCATGTGAGCGAATTTAGCCTCTAAATTGTTTGAGTTTGAGAAACCTTTCGAGAATTTTCTTTCAGTTGGTCCGAAAAGTAAACAAAAATCCGATGCTTTGTGCGAAAATAATTTCTCCAACTGCGAAAACAAATAATTCCTCTCTTTCTTGTAAAGTTATTAGAGCCAAGACCTTTTGAATTGCAACCAAAATATGAGTTTATTTTCATAGAAAAAATAGAAATGCGGTGGTTCTAACTCCGAATTTAATGATTAAAAAACACCTATTTCGAAAAGACTTATGCAATTTCGGTAGCTTTGAAATGTTTTTTGCGTTGGAATAAAAGATATTTTTAAGGCCTTTTAAAACTGGCAATTAATTTCTAATTATTAAAATGATGAATTAAAATAACAGCTTAAAGTGTGCTGCACTCGCGACTCCAAACTCAAGGTCACATTGTGCTAAACTGATCCAATCAGAATTCTCGCTAATGGCTACATTTCGAAACAACACCAATATAATAACTTTGAATTTTCTTGTACATGCTCAAATTGCGCTTAAAGCATGACAAATGAGAATCGACATCATAAACCCTCCAAGTGTTTATTCATACTCTTTGAACTACTTCAGGTTCAGCAGCGTCACTTATGTCTTGGAGCTGCCATCTGTTGTCTCTCGGGTTCAATAATCGTAACTGAATATAAGATGCCAAGCCACTTCAATGCCGGATATTGGATGGGTACAATAGATCTTGTTGCAGCTCTCTTCATGTTTGTTTGTGCAATCAAGCCTAAAAAAGTGGTATCAGTTACCTCCACCATGGTTGATGCTGTCGCCATAGCAATAACATTCGCTGGAAGTTTTCAACTCTTAGTTCTCAAAACAGGAACAGCAAGTACAACAGGGTGGATTGGCCTTGTCACCTGTGTCTTTCTCATCTATCATTGCGTATCTTGCATATACGATATTGGCGCGTGCTGCAATTTGAAGGATCCAGATGACGCAAATGCTGCCACCACACCAACGACGAACGATAATGGACGACAAGTAGAAGAAGGAGGTCGTGGAGGACGAGGTCGCAAAAGACGAACACTTTCTCCGCCGATCGATTTTCGATTTCCCGATGAAATGCCTAAGTTACCCGGGTATGAGGAATTGGGTAAATCTGAGGGTCTGCCCCCAGATTACAACACTTTGAACGTCGCGCCCCCTGAATATACGCCAACAACTGAAGAAGTAACTGTAACTGTCGAAGCTCATAGCTAATATCTTGCTGAGAAGCTGGTTACCTGTATTTCTATTTGCTTCAGACAGTGTGCGCATTTATTCTTTAGGCATATTTTGTCTACTTTCTTGGAACACTTTTCGTTTTAATGTGCCATATATATATATATATATATATATGTGTATATATACTCTGTGAATTAACTGATTAATTTGATTCATTCTTACGAGGGAAAAAAATATTTTATCTATCAATTTTGCAGATATGCGTCTCCTTAATGACTTTAACCATAAATGATTTGTTATTTTGATCATAGAAATATGATTTTAGTTACCGCTTCTTCGACGTTGTCTTGCAAAAAAACAATTTTCATTTGTTAAAGTTTTGCCATATATTAAATGGATGATTTCTTCATAATTAATGTGATTAAATTGTAAAAAAATGCGTAAAATTTGCTGATGAACATATATTAGGAATAAAGAAAATTTCTTGTATGGGCCCGTCATCCTTTTTCATTCATCTTTGCTTGCCAACATCGAACTCGATTCAGTTTTAATTCATAAGGATTCGATTGTTAGATTGTACAAAATTTTCATAACTCGTAAGTAATAACCTGCTGGTATCATCTGAACCTATGTTTTTCGAATTCGTCTAGGTTTATGGTCAAACGAACTTTGGTAAAGGCAATTCATGCAATATATGCATATAAATGTATATGTTGCGTCGTGAATAAAGGCTTCTATTCATGAAGAAGACCGCCCCTAGTGCCAAATGAAAGAGATTTTATTTGTCTTTTAATAAAGAATGTATGATAACCTAATGAAAAAGTTACCACATGATAATAAATATCCCATCCATTAGGCCTAGCGGACCTTGAGATAAATGTAGAGAATTGTTTGCTCAAACTTTTTATCTGTCCACTAACATATTTTATTGGAAAAAAAGTAAGAAAAGAATGCTTAGGAAAGCTTATGTTTCGTTCATGGACTCATTTATTTTGACGGTGATAGTGAAAAAGTACTTTCGGGTAAGCATTATTTTGTCAATTTTAGCTTCTAAGCCCGATGTGTGCGAAAGAGTTACCTCCACGTGGTGCACCCTAGGCAACGTATACGCATAGGGCAAAAAAGTCTATTAATCGACAGTTGATTTCACACTTCAAACTACCGTGACCCATCCCATTCTATGTCATATTCCACCATTTCCATAGTACTCAGCTTACCTTTTCTGTCTGACTCTTTCACGTCTGTTTATCATTATTCTGTCCCCCCCCCCCTCTCCACTTGTTGTCACTTTGATGTTCCTTCCCTCTGTGAAGCCTGAAGAGAGCTAAATGGCTAATGATAACTATCAAAACGCCAGCCATTTGAAATAAATAACTTCTGAGCCCGCCTTTAATAAAAATGACTTTAACGAGTTCGCACAACTTTCAAATTCCGTGCGACTTTGACTCCAAAAATTTTGATTGACACCTATTTCATTTTCAAAAATCATCTCTCTCTCTCTTATTCTACAGTTCTTCGTACTAAAGATTTTGTACACTCAGCCTTTCATGAATTTGAATCCCATCTTCATCATGCATAATCAACTGTTAACTATCAAAAAAAATTGGAATAGCTTTCCATAACCACGAATTGAACTTTGGGGCATTTTAGATTCCAAAGACAATGCAATATGAAGAGTCGAATTCACCGAGTTTAATTTTCTAATGTCTTTAATTAAGTGAAATGTAAATATTGTTTACATTTTTTCCAAAATTTTCATTGTTACTAAAATATGTAAAATCAATAGACTTCGTGAGTGTTCATTAAGAATTGATCGAATACTTTCCGTTCAACTTTAAACATTGCAGTGTTCAACCACCTCTCCTTTATTCCGTCTGTGATTATTTGTCATTGGTCATAGTTGGAATCGGGCTGAAAAGGTGTTTGATTTTCTTGAAGTTTGCTTAGTAACTGTATGCAGCTTTCTCCAGTGCCTAGATTATCTGTCTCCCCAAACTGATCTCCACCTGTCCTCCGGTTATTCTAGTTGGCCTTTCTAATCAGCTACAATTGTCATGAGTTTCCAGAGTTTTGTGCGCAATTCTCAATGCGTTACAATGGCGAAACCATAACCTAACAATAGGACAAACAGTTACACTTTTTTCAAATCTGATTAAAATAAGTAGAATTGATTCAACTAACTGGAAGTGTTTTGGTGTTGAGATTGGAATTTGATGAAAAAGGACTTTTATGATTTATCATGGTGTGAACATAGACCCAAAGCGCATAAAATATTGATTTAAAGCTTTGCCTTTTTACAAAATTGAAGTCGTTTGCCTATTCGCAAAAGTCCAAGTCTGATCATTGCGGTTGTTTTTAGGACAATATTGGTTAGGGTAACTTTTTACAACAAGATCATAGGTTATGTTCAACATCTTTTAGGCGGGGTGTGAGATAGACTTACCTCCCCGTGTTGCATCTTGGGCAACGTATACTCATACGACAAAAACGTCTATAAAAAGGCAGTTGACTTCTGACCTCAAACTACAATGGCCCCACTGTGTGTCATATTCCACCACTTTCACAGTACTCACCTCACTTTTTTTCTCTGCCTTTGTGTCTGTGTCTCTTTTACATCTGTGAATCACTTTTCCGTTCCTCCTCTCGACTTTTTGTCACTTTAGTGTTCCTCCTCCTCTCTGTGAAGCTCGAAGTCCGCTAAAGGGCTAATGATAATTATCAAAACGCCTGACATAAATAAATAACTTTTAGGCATAATTTCGCTGGCAAGATCACCAGTTACTACTTTAAGTAAACACCAACCATGCAAAAGCATTGAACAGCAACATAAATGTATTAATTGCCTATAACGGAAACATACAACTTATCCGAAATGAAGGTTAGAGAGATAATGAAGTACGAAAATGAAATTCCTCAATTCTTTGCATTCTGGAACAATTCGGTTTTCCTTCATTTCCAGTTTCAATCCCTCCTCGTGAGTCGTTGGTGGTGTCATTTTGATCCAAAAGAATGCTTATATATATATATATAGCATATCTCCCAAATCCACTAATTTGGCTATTCAAATGTACTGAATTAGACATCACAGTAGGAACTTTCCAAGCCCAGGACTTTCTGAAACACCCTTATTCCCATCACCATTTCATTGATGCGATTGCCCTTTGCACTGCCTTATTATAACTCGGAACGAGATGAGCAAAGTCCGACTATGAGCCGACTATGACCATAGTTAAAACTGATTCCAACAACTTTCAGACGAAAATGCGTACCAATGTACATTTAAGTTTTTTGATAAATATTTAAGACGTGTGTAAATCTTCCCAATGAGCTTGATATATCAGCCAAAATGGCATGGGAAATCCATCAGAGCTAAAAACTTGCTTACCGTAAGCCTTTGCAATTAGGGGAGATTATCTGAGGCATTTCAGTGGAGATTCGAAAGAAAATGAATGAGATTAACATTATGAATATTTATTACCCTTTTCTTCACATGCACCATTTCCACTACTTTAACCCTGTAATGAACCAGTTGTTATTTTAAAAATATATAACCAACCGCACTCACAAGTGTCATACAGCAGACTGATGACAAAGATGTGATGAGTTTTGGTGGTATCAGGTGAAGGCTATAGGCGCATTGAACACGTTGCAAATAATAAAAACGCCTTCTGTAACGAGTCTCGTACCTATGGAGCTTATTTTAAAAGGTGTTAAAGGTTTAAGAATGTAAAGCGCTGAATGTTGTACAAAAAAACATTGTGTCCTTTCTTACCATTTTGAAAAAAATTATTAAATCTTCAGGACCACCATCCTTGCTTAGCATTGTGTCCTAAGTACCCTAAGTGGGCATTTGGTGCTGTCCAAAGGCCGAATCACGAATTTTGAATTATTAGGCGTCGGCAAAGCACTTCGAAAATGTTATATCCTCATCCGAATTCAAAAATCTAAGTTAATGAAACTAACTGTTACTCTTCCATCCTCTGCTTCCCTTCTTTATTACCTACTAGACTCTGTGCCAATCACATTCAGTTGGCTACATAATAGGAAACCGCACTTTCTTGTATTGCGGTTTGTATTGGCAGCAGTAAGCAAATATGAAATTGTAACGTTGCTATTAACTCTAGAGCCTTGGTATCATCGATTCTTTGAAAATTATAATGAGATGAAGAGAAGTCATCACCACAAACTCACTAATGCTCTATCAATTGGAAAATATTTGCCTCCAAAGATATAAGGCAGATAGCATGCCATCCTGTAGCCTGACAAGCCTCTCAAACTCTGAATTCAAATTCAGTCAGCCTAATGAACCTGCACATCAGATAATTAACGATTCACTTTTAATTACCTACTCTCAATTAACTTGCAAGTTGGGATGTGCGATAGACTTACCTCCACGTGGTACACCATGGGCAATGCATACGCATACGGCAAAAGAGTCTATTGATCGGCAGTTGACTTCTGACTTCAAACTACCATCACCCCCTTGTATATCATATTTGATTCATTTCACAGTACTCATCTCACCTTTTCTCTACCTTTGTGTCTATCTGTCTGTCTCCTCCAAATCTGTGAATCACTCTTCTGCTCCACCTCTCTAATTTTTCTCCCTTTGATTTTCCTAAGCCCGAAGTCAGCTATTAGGTTAAGGATAAATATTTAAACGCCTGCCATTTGAAATAATAATTAACTCGCAAGTTGTTGGAATGTTCTCCCTCC